CTGCTTGGGATTCTGCCCCTCTCTCTCTGCCCTCCCCCACTCATGCGCTCTCTCAAAAAAAAAACATTAAAAATAATATACACTTCCTGTGTTTTTACTAGTATCTTTCAGAATTCTATAATGTGGACCCCACGGACAGATTAATAAGGGTGCTAGACGAGTCAGTGAATGCAAATGAACGAACACTTCTTTTCTGTTACTTCCTCCTAGGCTGTGCTCTCCTGTCTGCTGGACTTATTCCCCGTCCTGGAGAAAGGCCTGCACTGGAAGGGAGGTGGGGCTCGACCCACCACACACTGTGACGAGGTGCTGCAGTTGATCCTGACCCACATGGAGCCAGAGCACCGCCTTCTCTTACGCAGGACCTATGCAAGAAACCTGCCAGCGTTTGTGAAGAGGCGAGTGCCCGGCTGCTGGTCTGGCCGCACCCCTCAAGTTCATCTCTGTGGTGCCACATCTTCTCTTCCCTTTTCAGGTTGGGGATCCTAACTGTCCGGCACTTGAAGAGGCTGGAGCGAGTCATCATCGGCTACCTGGAGGTTTACGATGGGCCAGAGGAGGAGGCTAGACTGAAGACACTGGAAACCTTAAAACTTCTCATGCAGTACACTTGGCCCAGGTAAAACAGCCAAGCAGGGAGGTGGGCCAAGAGGGACAAAACTCAGCCAGTTTTCACTTCAGAACCTGTCCAGGTATACTTTCAGTACAAAGTATTAAGGACAGGCCTGTTTTTACATTGCTATTGAATTTTGAACTGAAGTTGCATTGAAAAGATAAAATACACCCATTGTTACTTCAGGTGTATATCCCTCAATTTATAATGCATATTAGAATTTCAGAGTCCACTTAGAAGTGCTGTAATAGACATGCTTAACTTTGTTCACCCTAAGGTTTTTGAAATCTAATTGAGAACAGAGAACTTCATAGCTCATTACTGAACATGTGTGGAGCAGTGACCAGGAGAATACTGAGAATATCATTGCTTAGAAAGCATTCCAACTCTGGCTTGAGGTGGTGTCAGGAACAATAAAGTGGAAGGGAAACATGTTAAGTCAGCAAAATACTTTCTTGCATCAACAAAGTTTAATTCAGCTGGAGTCCAGTGCTCTAACATCTTTATCTGTTCTGAACCACAGTACTCTCATTTCCTTAGGATGTATCCAACCTTTTCCCTTAGTTACATCTGGAACTGGACTGCCTTGGTTTACTTACAGTCTTTCTCCTCCACTGAACTGTAACACCACTAACTTTGGTATATTGAGTACATGAAAGTTTAACCAGTACCTGGTTCTTAAATACACAAATATTTGAAGAAGGAATAGACTAAAATAGACTGAATAGATGGATGAAAGAAATTGAATCCAGTTAACATTGGCAGGCCTTTAAAGAGCAGAGACTAAGCTTCCAAGTCAGGATTGGCAAGCCCAAGTAGGAAGGTGAGAAAATCAGTGCCCTGTATGGCACGAGGGGGCGCTGGGGAGTGGGAAACAGCAGGTTTTATGTTGACGATAGGTGGAGGACTGAGCAGCAAACAGTATAGGAAATCGTTAAGTACTTACTAGATCAAGGGATGTAAACTTTTATTCTCCCAGTCACATTTCTGTCCAGAGATATGGTTTACTGTGCATATTTTTGCACTACAAGTTCCATTATTGTTCAGCTTCCATTAAGGCTTTTAAGGTTTTTTTGTTTTGTTTTTTTATTGTAAGAAAAACTACATACAGTTTGCCATTTAAAATGGATTCAGTGGCATTAAGTACCTTCACGATTTTGTACAACCATCACCACTGTCCTTTTCTAGAACTTTTTTTCATCAAAATAAAAACTTTCAAAAAAGCTAAGAAGTTGAAGTTAAATGGGCTGGGCTTAACTGAGGGTAAAAGCTAGGATCTGGAATTAAATAACAGAAAATTCTAATTACAGTTAGGTCCCAGAAGCCAAGCATATTTCACTTCATTTTAAATTTCCAGGCCTATGACTGTATAAGTTAAAGGACTGTGGGCCATCTCCTGTTCTCTGGCCCAAAGTAAAAGCCCCTGGTAAGGGGAGATCCCACTTCTCACTTTCCAGGTGGGGCGATTTCCTTACAGTAGAACCAAGCTTCTGGCTTGGCAGGCCAGAGTATGTGTATTGGAGCCATGCTGCAGAAAAAAGGGCTCAAAATGAGTTCAGAAATCTGGCGTCTGGTCTCTAGTTCTGCTTCCAGCTCCCTGGTCTCCTAAGTCATTTAACTTCAGTTCCTTCATTTAGGAAATGAGGGCTTTACAACTTAGACGGCCTTGGAAGTCTCAGTTTTAATATCCTGATTTTAGAGTATGAATGTGACTTTTTTCTTCCTGATTCCAGAGTTTCCTGTAGACGTGTGGTCTTATTGAAGGCTCTCTTGAAACTGATCTGTGATGTAGCAAGGGATCCAAACCTTACACCTGAGCCTGTTAAGAGCGCCTTGTTAGAAGAGGCCACAGATTGCCTGATTCTCCTGGACCACTGTTGTCAAGGACAAGTGAAGGTAAGAGTCTGCAACCTGGTCCTTAGGAAGCTCCTATGATTGATTATAATTTACTGTTCACATGCCTGACCAAGTCTGTAAATGAACATGCATGGTTCAGGTTTTCACCTGGGAGCCCTCTAACCTTCAATAAAGGCGGATTAACTTATTCAGCTTTTAAAGCTATTCAGAGGTATTTAGGCCAGAAGGCAAGAGGCTCAGGAGATGTCTCTGGGGTGAGGATAGACAATGGGCAAAAGACTAAGAGTTCTTAAAATTTAAGTTCTGTTATATCTGATTTTTTTTTTTTAAGGATGAAATAATGAGCTATAAGCCACCAAGAAGTAATAATATAGAATAATTCAGATCCCAGAAATGTTTCCAGTTTTTCCAGGGCACCTGTATTTTTATTTATCCTTACTTTTCCACATCGGAATTCTTTAGTTTCACATGCCACAAAAGTTAACTTGTCATAGCCAAAGCATATAATGGCTGTGTGTATATTTACATATATTTATAAACTATTGCCTCATTTCTTATCCCACTTAGAAATCTTCAGGTTATAAAGCAAAATGAAAAAAATTCATATCCTAACAATATTCATAGAGTATTGTTTGTTGTGTTATCAGTTCATTCAAATTACTTCGTATTGGCTCTTTAATCTCTGGCAGTTTTCAAGTCCTGGATCTAATCTAATTTGCATCGGCTGGGATCAGTCTGCTGCTTCCTGAGCCATCAGGACATCTGCCCACATGCCAACACAGCTTTTAAAATTACACCTGTTCCATGAACTGTTCCCTAGTCTCATCCATTCTTTCTTTCTTTGAATATGGTACCAAGAAACAAGAACCAAGGTAAAAGGAACAGAAGTATCAATTAAAAAGAAAAAGCCTGTTTGGTTTCATATTTCAGGGTCTCCTGGTCAAAATTCTCCAAAGCTGTGAAGACAGCAAGGTGGTGAACTGTATCAGAAAAGTCCGGCAGGTTTCTGAAGGCACGCCCTACGATGGAACTTAAGATTTGTCTTATTTTCCTAAAACAGGAAGACTTTTCTTCTTGTTCCAACGGTATACATGGAATCATTTAAGAAAAAAGGTATTTTTACACTCAACAGTGTAACTTAGTTCTTTTTCCTTCTTTTATTCCCACAGAAGTAGGGAAAGGAGAACAAGAAAAAACTGAAATCTGAACATTTCTAAATAAAGTTGAGGGGGGGTGGGGGAGAAGGATACCAAGGAAAACAGGTGGGTAGCATTTAAAATTTAGAAATATTTACACCCACAGATTCATCTGTTAAGCTTCTTGGGCTCAAGCTGTTACTTCAAAACATATGCCAACACTATAAAAATACTCTGTTCACAACTTAAGGCTTTCTCCACTCCCAGATTTCCTTGCCCCACAGAAGCAGCATAAATATTAAAGACACAAATATTGTGTGAAATACTGTATGAAAGAGCAAAACCTGGAGGTATATACATGGTTAAGGTAAAAGAAAGGAGGATACTGAAAATGTTCAGTCCTGTTGCAGATGTCTGAAGGGAAGTCATGTGGTTTTGGCCTTGGCCACAGGCTCTGTCTCCTGCTCATACTCTATCTCTACGTAGGCTCGTTTCCTCCGCAAAGGTCCTTTCAAGGGTGTTTTGCCTTTATGTGTGGCATCAAGGGCCTTTTCTTCTTCGTCACTGGAGGATTTATCATCCTGATCTTCATCACTACTGGCATCCAGCTTATCCATATCCTGATATGGAGAGAGGAAAAAAAGAGAGAAAATGCTAGATGCATCTCCCAAACTCCTTTCATCGTCCTCTCAATTTAGAACTAGGCAATTTATCTGCCTCTGTATGTGTTCAGAAACGTTCTGTTCTCTGAAGGTCATAGGTCAATTTTTTGCCCATAAATCTCACCTCAAAATCACTTATGTCACTCTCATCCACCTCATCATCTTCCACAAACTCTCTCTTTCCCACATCCTAAAACAAAAACATAACTGTTAAGTTGAAAATACAGAATGAAAATTCAGCTCACACATCTAATTCTATTCTTTGATAAGTGCAACAGTAACAAACAGAATCATAGTCTACTTACTTAGTCCCAACCAAAATCTATTTCCAAGTTTAATACTTCTGAATTAAAACATTTTAGGGATATCCATTCTCATGCCTAATATAAATCATTAGATCATTTTAATTTGCTAAAAAAAAAAAGTACATTAGAAAGGCTTTACAAACACTTAAATCTATTAATTTCAAATATCAAAAAAGGGTCACTACTAGGAAAAGTACACCTATGTGCCTGTATGAGCGCACCATGTGATTAGCAATCACCTGCTAAATCTGGCCTTTTTCTAAAAGACTATCACTCAAGTACCTCCCCTATATTAATAGTGAAATTAAATCCTGTATAAATTTCAGGTTCCTGAATGGTATATTCTGTCAGCTGATGAGGATTCTTCATTTGTCCCCTTGCAAGAAAAATCTCAGAATGCCAATAAATAAGATTAAAATCCAACGTGTTAATAGTCTGTTGACTGAACTAAAATTAATCTCATGATAGAAAAAAAAGGACCAAATAATTATTTTTGGGTAGGGGAGTAAAAATGCTCTTCTGTCACTCAAGTACATATAAAGAGATCTAGGTCTACAGGTTACTGCTTTAGGAAGCACAAACGAACAAACAAGGCTTACTTCTTCATCATCTTTTTCCTCAGCATCTGAAGAGTCACTCTCTGCTTCCTGCTGTTCCAGGGCCTTGTCGAAGGCATGAATGGGGAAGTTGTAGATGTCGCCATACTGAAGAACATAAATACAGACTGGCTTTAACAACATCTGGATTTTGCACTTGAAGTCCACTGTCCGATGACATACTGTTTTCTCCTCAGTGATTAAATGAGAATACTTAATGTGATGGATAATAATTTTTCTATATTAATTTCAAGCCTAGAGCCAACAGTGTCTTTACAAGCCCATTTCTGACATTTAAGTAATCAGTGGTTAATACCAAACACTATAAACTTAGTAGTTTATAAAATCAGTGGGTTGGAATAAATGTAAATGTGCTGACAGGAAATAATACGGGAAAAATAAGTTCTATCCGTTTTGTCTCATAAATGACACTAATTTTTAAGAAGATTTAACTCCTTTTAAAGAACCTTAGACTAGGGTAATAAGCAGGAGGATCAGAACTGCATGCCTTTTCTTATCTAGAGCTCTGAGACCGTTGCGTCAGGAACAGGAGTTCACAGTATGGTGCAAAGGGAAAGGTCTCTTTGCTGGATGGAACATCAAGGGTAACCAGGGCACCTTTCGTGTTCATGTTCACGAACTAAGACGGGGAAGCCAAGGCCTGTATATTTGTTCTATTCCAGGAACAAAATCAAGGTGAAGATCTTTCTAGCATCTTTGAAAGTAAAACACACTTCCCACTATTTCCTAGCATGATGTTACTGTCTAAAAAGTGAAATTTATATCCCAAACTTCCTAGCTTTCTCACCGTATCTTGTTTCAGTCGCTCCAGCAATTCCTTTTCAATGGCATTGTCCAGCTGAGCAGCTATTAATGCCTTTTCCTGTAACAGAAAAATTTGAGTAAACCCATTTACTTCCTTAGTACTCATATTTCAGCCTGTAGAAGTAAAAAAAAAAAAAAAAAAAAAAAAAAAATTTTATTTCAAAAAAAAAAAAAATCACTTTTTTCCCCTCTTGCATTAAAAAAAAAATCACATACCACGATCAAGTGGGATTTATTCCCAGGATGCAAGAGTGGTTCCACATTCACAAAATAACATGATACATACGTATCATTAGGAGAAACGATAAAAACCATATTATCATTTCAATAGATGCAGAAAAAGCATTTGACAAAGTACAGCAACCATTCGTGATAAAAACCCTCTGCAAACTAGGTCTAGAGGGAACATAACATAATAAAGGCCTTATTTGAAAAACACACAGCCAACATCATCATCAATGGGGAAAAACAGAGCTTTTCCCGTAAGGTCAGGAACAAGGCAAGGATGTCCACTCTCACCACTTTTATTCAATATAGTACTAGAAGTCCTAGCCACAGCCATCAGACAACAGAAAGAAAAGGCAACCAAATTGGTAAGGAAGAAGTAAAATTCTCATTATATGCAAATGACATGACACTGTATATATAGAAAACCCTGAAGGCTCCACCAAAAAACAACTAGAACTGATCAATGAATTCGGTAAAGTCACAGGATACAAAATCAATGTACAGAAATCTGTTGCATTCCTATACACTAACAATGAAGCGGCAGAAAGTAAAATTAAGAAAACCATCTCATTTACAATTACATCAAAAATGATAAAATATCTAGGAATAAACTTAACCAAAGAGATGAAAGACCTGTGTTCTGAAAACTATAAAACACTGATAACAGAAATTCAAGATGATGCAAAAAAATGGAAAGACTCATGGGGCTGGAAGAGCAAATCTTGTTCAAATGTCCATACACCAAAGCAATCTACACATTTAATGCAATTTCTATCAAAATACCAATAGCATTTTTCACAGAACTAGAACAAATAGTAAAACCACAGAAGACCCTGAACAGGCAAAGCAATGTTGAACAAGAAAAAACTGAAGGTATCACAATTCCAGATTTCAAGTTATATTACCAAGCAGTAGTAATTAAAACAGTATGGTACTGGCATAAAAATAGACACATAAGGGGAGCCTGGGTGGCTCAGTCGGTTAAGCATCCGACTTCGACTCAGGTCACGATCTCGCGGTCCGTGAGTTCGAGCCCTGCGTCGGGCTCTGGGCTGATGGCTCAGAGCCTGGAGCCTGCTTCAGATTCTGTGTCTCCCTCTCTCTCTGCCCCTCCCCCGTTCATGCTCTGTCTCTCTCTGTCTCAAAAATAAATAAACGTTAAAAAAAATAATAAAAAAAAAATAGACACATAAATCAGTGGAATAAAACAGAAAACCCAGAAAAAAGTTTACAATTATATCACCAATTAATCTTTGACAAAGGAGAATTAAAATATTCAACAGGAAAAAGTCTCTTCAATAACACTGTTGGGAAAACCGGAGAGCCACAGGCAAAAGAATGAAATTGGACCCCTTCCTTTCACCATACACACAAAAATAAACTCAAAATGGATTAAAGACCTAAATATGAGACCCAAACCATAAAAATCCTTGAAGAGAGAACAGGTGGTAATCTCTGACATTGGCCATAGCAACATTTTTCTAGATATGTCTCCTGAGGCAAGACAAATACATGCAAAAATAAATTATTGAGATTACATTAAAATAAAATATTTCTGTACAGCGAAGGAAACAATCAACAAAACTAAAATGCAACCTACTCAATGGCAGAAAATATCTGCCAATGACATATCTGATAAAGGGTTAGTATATAAAGAACTGATACTACTCAATACCCAAAAACAATCCAATTTAAAAATGGGCAGGGGCACCTGGATGGCTCAGTTGGTTCCGTGTCCGACTTCAGCTCAGGTCATGATCTCATGGTTCGTGGGTTTGAGCCCAGCATTGGGCTCTGCACTGGCAGTGCGGAGCCCCCTCGGGATTCTCTCTCTCTCTCCCTCTGCCCCTCCCCCCAACTTGCATGCGAGCACACACACACACACACTCACTCTCTCTCAAAATAAACTTTAAAAAAAATAAAAATGGGCAGAAGACATGAACAGACATTTCATCAAAGATACCAGCTGGCCAAAAGACACGTGAAAAGATGCTCAACATCACTCATCAGGGAAATGCAAATCAAAACCACAATGAGGTATCACCTCACACCTGTCAGAATGGCTAAAATCAAAAACACAAGAAACATCAAGTGTTGGTGAGGATGTGGAGAAAAAGAAACCCTTTTGCACCATCGGTGGGAATGCAAACTGGTGTAGCTGTTGTAGGAAACAGTATGGGAGAGCCCTCAAAAAGTTAAAAACGGAACTACACTACAATGCAGGCAATGCACTACTGGGTATTTACCCCAAAAAACGAAAACAGTAATTCAAAGGGTTACACACACCCTTCTGTTTATGCCAGCATTATTAACAATAGCCAAAATATGGGAGCAGCCCAAGTGTACGTCGATTGATGAATGGATAAAGAGAAAGTGGTATTTAAGAAACAAAACAAACAAGGAAAAAAAAAAAAGACAAACAGATCCTTAACTATACAAAACTGATGGTTACCAGAGGGGAGGTGGGTTGGGGGGAATGGGGGAAAGAGGGAATAGGAATTGGAGAGTACATTTACCATGGAGAAAAAAAGAAAAAAGAATGCTCAAACCCTGCTTTGAGTAGTATGCAATGTATAAGATTAACAACATACCAAAATTCTGATTTCTCTCTCTTTTAATGTTTGCTTTTGAGAGAGAGAGACAGAATGTGAGCAGGGGAGGGGCAGAGAGGGAGACACAGAACCTGAAGTGGGCTCCAGGCTCCAAGCTGTCAGCACAGAGCCTGATGCAGGGCTCGAACTCACAGACCTCAAGATTATGACCAGAGCCAAAGTTGGACACTTACCTGACTGAGCCACCCAGGTGTCCCCCAAAATTCTAATTTCTAAAATACTTAACTTCAAGAATCTCAGACAAGGTACTTCTCTGTTCTCCATTAAATGTATCTCCAAGAACCCTTATTTTAACCTGCCCTGAAAATCATAATCTTAAAATACGAATATCCAATATCTTATGCAACTAATACTGTTATCTATTAGCGAACCACTACCCAAGGCCCAAACAGTTCACAGGAAATGGTGACTGAATCTTTCTCATGATCCCTACCTATAGAGTCCTACCCTCAATGAGATACAGAAGCTATGAATACAAGAAGGGTAAGTTACCTCTCTTCTTTTTTCCCTCCGCTCCACCTTCTTACTCAAGGGAACAAGCTTCCTCCTATGGAAAATAAAACACATTATCAGAAAACCCAAGGGCATGTTTTGTGTGTTCCTTTAAAAAAATGAGAAAATAGGAATGGAGTTGATTTTGTAGGGCTCAGCTCAATATAGCTAACATTATATACCTGTAATTCCCTAAGTAGTTAATACTACAAGTCACACATTTTTACACATATTTTTATGCTTATTTTACTTTTTGTTTTCTTTGAGCATTCTGAGACTTCTGAGGGCACTCACCATGCTTCACGATTAATGCTTCAGTTAACTAAAATAATTTTCTGTAGGGATGCTTGGGTGGCTCAGTCGGGTAAGTGTCTCACTTTGACTCGGGTCACAATCTCCTGTGAGTTCAAGCCCCGCATGGGGCTCACTACTGTCAGTGCAGGGCCTGCTCCGGGTCTTCTGTCCCCTGCCCCTCTCTCTGCTCCCCCCCTCGACCCCCAACTCTCACATGCTCTCTCTCAAAAACAAACATAAAAAAACTGTCTGTAGAAGACTGTCACCTTTAGCTTTCTCTGCAGGTCACAACGAAAAAGTATTAGGACGTAGCACTCCTTAGTAAGATATCCAATTAATTCCATGGATTTCATATCACTTTTTAAAATTAATTTTTGGTGAACCCAGAGTAAAGTTCTGACATTCTTATTTATCCCCATTTTTTAGGTCATTGTTAAATCCCTAATTTTATGATTGTGTCAAGGAGTTATACAATTTCCTGAAGCTGATTTTCAGACAGGGAGGAGATCATCAAGTTCTACTATATTGTTTTTTATTTTTGTTTAAGTTTATTTTTATTTATTTTGAAAGAGAGAGCGCAAGTGAACACGTATGTGCGAGCAGGGGAAAGACAGAGAGGGAGAAAGAGAGAATCCCAAGCAGACTCTGCCCTGTCAGCATGCAGCCCGACATGGGGCTTGATCCCACAAACCGAGAGATCATGACCAGAGTGGAAATCAAGATTCGGATGCTTAACCAACTGAACTACCCAGGTGCCCCCCCGACCCCCACACTGTTTTTTAAAAAGATCAAAGGGCACAACTTTAATCAGAGGTAAACTTTCTTCGTAGCATATCATACAAGGTTACCTGAAATTGAATTTAGTAAGAACCATTACTAGACATTTAAGAGTCTCTCCATAAAATGATCCAAGGAAAGACAGACTTAAAAAAAATACACATAATAGATGAATGATTTAAATACTCACTGTCGCTTTAATGTAAGTTTTCTAATTCGAATTAGGTACTGGGTGATCTTGGTGAATCTCTGCTTACACTTGTGTCGAATGAAACGGGGCCAGTAAATTAGATTTTCATCTATTTGCTCCAGTGCTCTCTCATAGTTTTTATGAAGCCGGACCTATAAACAGAAAAAGAAAGCTTGAAGAGTGAGGGTAAATGATTAGGTGGGCCTTCACTGCTATGATACCCAGGGGCCTAATGAGGTTGGCTTCAAAAGTTTAATGTAGCTATGGTCAAGGAAGAGAGAAAAGCATGTGGCAGTTTTGTTATTGATCAAGGGTCACTGTCATTTTATGTCCTAAGTCTTACCCGTTCCCAGAGCCGCCTAGGAAAAGCTGCTCGTTCTATAACCTTCATATACAAGTAGCACTGTCCTGCAAGGTAAAGTAAATACCGTTAATATTACAGAGAGACGAAAGAATATCCTTTTAAAAGCTGTTGGCTAGTTCTCATGGAAGTTCAAACTAAAGAGTTACCTTTCTCTTCTTTGATAGTGGCATACTGACTGTTTGCCAGGGGACAAGATGACCGATTACACAGTCCAGTCAGGCTGTATTCATTTCTGCAAAAACTCTGAGTCTTGGTTCTACAATGAGAGGGAAAGAGCAAAAATTGTAAGAGGGGTTAACAAGAGGACAGCTGAAGGAATCTTTGCCCAAGTTGCAAATCTAGACTCACCTTATTTTGAAAGAACAAAATTGCTTGTTTCCGAGTGTGTCCCAGATAACCTGCAAGACAAGGTAAGAACACATTTCAATTGCTCTGACCCAACAGGTGGGAGTATTAACCCAGGAAAACACAGTGCCCTGGTTTACTTAGGAGGTCTCAAAGGAGTCTTTGAGGAATGAGAGGAGGAAGACATGCTTTGTAAAACAGTTTGATCTGTGGGGGCACCAGGGTGGTTCAGTTGGTTAAGCACTGGACTCTGGATTCCACCTGCTCAGGTCATGTTCTCACGGTTTGTGAGTTCAAGCCTCGAGACAGGCTGTGCTGACGTCACAGAGCTTGCTTGGGATTCTCTCTCAGTGTCACCCTCCTCTACTCCTGCTCTTTCTCTCAAAATAAATAAATATTTTAAAAATGTCTGATTTGTTTTCTTTTTATGCAGATTCTTGTAGGGAAAAAAAATACAAATTATCAGTAACCACAACCCCTTCACCCACAGATAAAACTTCATTAGAATTTTGTAAATATTTTCGAATTTTTTCTATATATGCATTCCAGCAACAGTATGCCTATATGTATATTTTTAACAAAAATGAGATACTAATTTTGTGACTTTCTTAATATGTTCATTACCCATTGTAAAAGGCTGCACAGAACTAGATTGTTGCATATATGTACCATAATTTCATCTCATCTGGGCAAAGAAAATCATCTACTGCTATCCTCTATTAACTAATGTGTTCTTTATTCATTCAGCATTGATGGTATACTTAATTTATGTAAGGCACTGACAATCCTAAAACCTGACACACAGGAGGCACTCAAGTATTTGTTGAATGAAGCAAGGTAGTGTCCTTAAACAGTTTTACCTCTCTACTTAGGGAGAAAGAAATGTAAACAAAGCATCACAAAGCACTAGTCTAAGTGCCACAAAAGAAGTTTGTAAGAGCCTTTAAGTGGGCTGCCCTGAGGAACTGGGAAAGGCTTTAAAGCAGCTAAAGTAGTTAAAGCCTAATACATAAAGAAATGTAAACAAACAACAACATTTTTGGAATTTTATAGGATGTGTGTTTGGCAGGCGATGATAGGAAACAGGTAGGAGGAAATGAAACTGGGAAAGTAGGAGTTCATTCTGGCTTGTGGCTTTATTTATTATTTTTTTTTAATATTTGTTTTTGAAGGAGAGAGAGACAGAGTGTGAATGGGGGAGGGGCAGAGAGAGAGAGGGAGACACAGAATCCGAAGAAGGCTCCAGGCTCTGAGCTGTCAGCATAGAGCCCGACAAGGGGCTCGAACTCACAAACTGTGAGATCATGACCTGAGCTGAAGTCAGACGCTTACCCGACTGAGCCACCCAGACGCCCCAGGCTCGTGGCTTTAAATGTCATCTGTAAGTTGATGACTCCCAAGTTGTCATCTCCTGGTCAGACTTCTCACCTGAGCTACAGACTTGTATATACATTTAACTGCCTACTTGACATCTCCACTTAGAAGCCTGTAAGGCCTCATACACATTAACATGTCCACACCCCTTAAAAGAATACTGTGTTCCTTCCCCATCTCCATAAATAAAACCACCAATGAACTATTCGAAATCCTTTGATTTCTCCCTTTTCCTCATCATTGAATCCATCACATAGTCTTTTTGGTTATACTGATAATACAGATCTCAAATGCATCCACTTCTTTTCATCTCCACCATTACAACCAGGGTTGAAACTATTTTCATCATGCTCTAGTTTCCTTGCTCTTATGCTTTCTCTCCTTGAAAAGACTATCACAAAACTAGACAACTTTTCACAAAAGTCAGATGTCATTTCCCATTAAAAGCCCTAAAAGACACTACATGATCTTGTCCCGCGAACATATCTAACTTCATTATCTCTCTCTCTTCCCTGGATTCCTATAGCACAGGTCACATCAATATTCTTTAATACAGTCCTTCTCTCTTATATCCAGACCTTTGTATTGTACTGTTCCTACTGCCCAGATATTTTGCTTTTCCCTCAGCCCCTCCATGACGGTTCATTCTCATCTTTTAGATCTCAGCTCAAATGTCTTTTATTCAGAGAAACCTTCCCACCACAGCTTTGTCTGAAGTGGTCTCTCCTAATTACTCTCTCCTTCATCAACTTTGGTCTTCTTTTCACAGTATTATTACACAGTACGATGGTTTTAAATATGTTCACTTGTTTACCATCTGTCTCCTCCACCAGAGTGCTCCAGAAAAGCAGAGGTCTTTTGTCTGGCTTATTAAAAACTAAATCTCCAGTAATTACCACACTGCCTGGCACACAGCGCTTCTGTATTTCCCAGGACTAATTAAATGAACGGAGGATGCTTCCAAAAATTATGGCGTGGGCAGACCATGAAAAAATGTAAGGAAAATCCTAACACAGGAAAAAAAAGATTATAAAGGAACGTGAACACGGAAGAATGGGATCTGGAAATCTGAAGTCTAAACTTAGCTATACCATCCCCAACCTCACCTCCACCCGCGCCTCCCACGTCCAGAGACACCATAGGCAAAGTCTTTCATTGCTGGGCACCAGGGACTGAATAAGCCAGCCCTATGGACTGGCGCTGTTCTGGCCTCTTCACCCCGCTGAGGCAGCGCTCGAGAGCCCGGGTAGACACGTGAGAGCCCCACGCTCGGAAACCGGGGTTCCGGCAGCCTCGGTTCCGGAGCGACACGAAGCTAATGGGCCAGCTAAGTGTTGCTGCTGATCCCCCTAAAGCAGGAGAACCCAGGTGGCAGAGAAACAGGACACTCACATCATCTGACTGCATAGCGTCGGCAGCTCAGCGTGCAAACCCGGCCAAATCTGGGGGGCAACCATGCTTCTTCCGGAAAATCACTTCCGGAAAGCCTAGTCTCACCTATCGCGAGAATTCTGATTTCCCCGGCTTGCACAGCGCCCCTTGGCGGTCTAACTTGCGTGCGCATCTCCAAGTCCTGCGCCACGTCCGGATCGTCACCGTGCGCCCCCGCTGCCATGTAGGTCTTGTTCCCGGTCTCACCCTGGGACAGTAAACCCGGCTAGGAGGCCCTTGCCACCCCGCGCAGGAGTCGGTCGAGTCCTGGAGCGCAGAGGCCGAGGTCCATGGGCGCGCCGTGGTCCAAAGCGCGGGTTGTGATTGCCCCTAGAGATTGGCTGTCCCTCCCCGGCCGCCGGGCGTCCTCGGTCTCGGAGTGCGCCCGGGAAAGCGCGGACCGCCTCCCGCCGGTCCATAGCGCCTGGAGGCCGGGGCTGCGTTGTCTTTACTCCTTCTCCGCCAGGCTGGGGAGCTCAAACTCTGTCCTTCTTCACCTGACACCCTGGTTCCCGCGCTCACTCCTCCCTCACTTAACCCCGCAGACACTCTTGTTCTCTTGTTTGGTGTGGAATTGGGTCCTGACCTTTGAAATTCATGGATTAGATAATATTTTTTTTAAAAAATCGGAGGACTAACACCTTTCCCCCGCTTTTTATTTTAATGGGAAAAAGAAAACCTTTATTAGCGCACACCATTTTTCAAAAGAATGTTCAGTTTAACACCCAAAGAGTAAACAAAGGCACAGTCTCAGAATAAGGATGGGCGATTAATTTGCATATCACGGTATAAAATAATTAAGTATATCATAAGTAATGTAATTTTGCTTCATGCTGGTGAGAACTACGAATTAGAGCCACACCATTGAAAAACATTGATTTAGCAGAGGTTTGGGGAACCAAACTTAGGTTATAAAAAACTATTGCTATTTACTAAGTATCTTTGGGCAAGTCAGGTAGCCTTTAGCAAATTATCCCATTTGAAAAATGCGGGTATGTGAGGTCTAGAGGTATGTTAAATGCATAGTTTACATTGCTTCATAAAAAACAGTTGTGATTGTTCTCATTCACCTACTTGCCTTACCTGGTTTAAAGACCTAAAGGGCAGTCATATCACACACACACATGCCCTTTTATGTTAGTAAAATCAAGTTTAAAATAATGTGGAAGAGGGGTGCTTGCCTGGCTCAATTGGTAGATTGTGCAACTCTTGATCTCCAGATCTTGAGTTCAGCCATACCTTGGGTGTAGAGATTTTTGAAAAAAATAAATAAAAAGATGAAGCTTCTTAAAAAATAATAGTGATGTGGAAGAAATCCAAAGGTAGACGATACTCACCAGGGTCACCACACCACACTACCCAAATCGTTTTAAGTAGGGGAAGTGATATATTTTTCAGTTTGATTTAGAATAACACTCCTTCCCTGCTCACCACCAACAGGTGAACCCAGTGAATAGTTTTTTAAACTGAGCTATAATTGACACATATTAATTTCAGTAGTACAAAATAATGATCGATATATGTATATATTGCAGGAGGATCACCACAATAAGCCTAGTTAACATTTGCCACTATATAATTATAATTTTTTTCTAATGATGAGAACTTCAAAGATCTACTCTCTTCACAACTTTCAAATATGCAATATATACTTTTATTTTTAACTGTAATCACCATCTGTAAATTAAATCCGTCATTTTTGTAACTAGAAGTTTGCCTTTGACCCCCTTCACCCATTTCTCTCCCCTTCCCCAAACATTCTGTTCTGTTTCTATGAGCTCTGTTGCCTTTCTGTTTTAGTTTTTTAGATTTCACGTGTAAGTGAGATCATATGATATTTGTCCTTCTCTGACTTATTTCACTTACCATAATGCCCTCTAGGTCTATTCACATCACAAATGGCAAATTTTCATTTTTAATGGCTGAATAGTATTCCACTGTGTATATATACTGCATTTTCTTATCCATTCATCAACTGATAGACATGTAGGTTGTTTCTGTATCTTCAGGTATTATAAATAATGCTGCAATGAATGTAGAGGTGCATACCATTAACACTTCCAACACGTGGGTTTGAATTGCATGGGTCCATTTATATGTGAATTTTTTTTTCAATAAAGTATGGTACTGTACACACATTTTTCCCCCCTTAGGATTTTCTTAACATTTTCTTTTTTCTAGCTTAGTTTATGGTAGGAACACAATGTATCATACATACACCAAATATGTGGTGGTGGGGGGGGGTTGGCATGCCCCTAACCCCCACATTGTTGAAGGGCCAACTGTATATCTTTTTTTGAGTTAGTGTTTCACTTTTTTCAGATACCCAGAAGTGGAATTACTGCTTCATATGGTGGTTCTATTTTTAATTTTTTGAGGAGTCTCCATACTGTTCTCCATAGTGACTGTACCAATTACATCCCCACCAGCAGTGCCCAGGAGGTCTTTCTTCTCCACTTCCTAACCAACACTTGCTATTTCTTGTCTTTTTCATACTGGCCTTTTTGACTGGTGTGAGGTGATATCTCCTTGTGCCTTTGGTTATTTCCCCAATGATCAGTGATGTTTGATATTTTTTCCTATGTCTGTTGGCTATCTGGATGTCTTCTTTGGAAAACTGCATATTCAGGTCCTCTGCCCATTTTTTTTTAATCCGATTGTTTTTTTGATGTCGAGTTGTAAAAGTTCTTTATGTATTTTGGATATGAACCCCTCATTGGATATATCATTTGCAAATATCTTCTCCCATTTCACTACATTGCCCTTTTTGTTGTTGTTGTTGTTGATGGCTTCCTTTGCTGTGCAAAAGCTTTTTATTTTGATGTATTCCCAATCATTTTTGTTTCACTGGCCTCAGGAGACATGTGCATAAATATGTTGCTAAGGGCAATGTCCAGGAGATTGCTGCTTATGTTTTCTTTTAGGAGTTTTATGGTTTGGGGTCTCATATGTAGGTCTTTAATCCATTTTGAGTTTATTTTTGTGTATGGTGTAAGAAAGCAGTATAGTTTGTTTTTACGTAGCTGTCCATTTTTCCCAACACCATTTATTGAAACAACTCTCTTTGCCCCATTTTATATTCTTGCCTTCTTTGTCATAGATTGATTGACCATATAGGTGTGGGCTTATATCTTGGTTCTCTATCCTGTTCCATTGATCTCTGTGGCTGTTTTTATGCTAGTACCATAGTGTTTTAATTACTATAGCTTTTATATCTTGAAATCTGGGATTGTGATACCTACAGTTTTATTCTTCTTTCTCAAGAATACTTTGGCTATTTGAGGTCTTTTGTGGTTCCATACACATTTTAGGATGGGTGGATGTGTGGTAGTATATAATTGTGTTAATCTGCCTTTCCCTGATGACTATAGAAATTAAGCATCATTCACATACTTATTGGCCATTCATATTCCTCTTTGTGCTGTATAAGTCTTCGGTTCCTTCCTTCCCAGAGATTTTTATTAGGTTGCTTTTTTTTCTTATTGTGTTTTAGGCATTCTTGCTATATTCTGGATATGAATTCTTTCTTAGATAAATCTACTGTAAATATCTTCTACTCTGGCTTTTCCTTAAGTGTCTTTTGGTGAACACAATTTGCTTTCAGTGATATCCAATTTATCAATCTTTTCCTCTGAGTTTGGTGTTTCGTGTGTGTGTGTGTGTGTGTGTGTGTTTGGTGTTTCTTGAAGTTGATACCATTATTATCAACCAGTTTTTACAGACTAGTTAATTGAGGTTCCTGGCACTGGAGATCTCAGGGCCAGGACTACAGTGAGGCAGGCGCAGGGCAGCAATGACACTCAGGTTCCTGCAATGTGCCCGGCACTTGTAGGACTCACTGTCTCCTCCTATTTTAAGCCCTAGATGCCTCACTTGCCTCAACCAAGCCCTGGCCCTCCCAAGATCTTCAATAACCTCCCTAGGTTTATCACCTTCCCTGCAGACTAGGGAAAAATAATTTTAAACGGGTTCTCTAAATTTGGGATTCAGTGGCCTGAAGTTAGTTTTCTTTCGCCACTTTTTAAAAACTAAAGATCATCCTGCTCAGTCTACCAAACACTGGTACCTGATTAAATGTATCCCCAGGTCTCTGCTTTGCCTGGCATGTTCTGTTTTCCTGAATAGGTGACTTTGAATTTGCTCCAGTCCTAGCAGAGTTTGAGAAGCAGCAAGTGTCCCGCGACTTACTAAAGAGAATCTCAGGAGTCTTCCAGGAACTTTTTGGGAATGAGGTGGCTCACGAGCGAGGGAGAAGCAGAAACTCCCAGGAACCTCTGTGGACTGGCCTTTAAGCCCGGCAACGGCGAAAACCTGGATGGAGGATCGCTGGGTCTGCGAGCGCGGAAAGTGATGCCGCTTTTCCCAAACCTCCTTTCCGAGTCTTCGCCCGAGCCCCGGCTGAGCGCAAACTGAAAGTGGAAAGCTGCCGGGCTGCCAGCCGCCAGCGAGCCTCCTACCCTGGAAGAGGTGAGTGGGAGGCACTGGGTCTTTTCGGGCTGCAATGATACCTGGTGGGGACAGGGTCTTGATGCCCAGAAACAAAAGGAGACTTTTCTGGTGCGCACGGAAGCCGGGACGCATCCGGAGCACACCTCCTCTTTGTGCCCAGAAGGGAGTGTGCGTAAGAGAAAGAGTTGCGTGCTGAAAAAGACTCGAAGTCCGTTTTGGGAAGCCTTGGGCAGCGCTTTCCAGAGACACCGCCTGAGATTTAAACCTATCTTGGGCCGAAAAAGCCCAGATGGGAGGCCGGTGACGCGCAGGAGCACCGGGAAGGCGCGCGGGTCTCAGCCGCGGGCGACTGTGGGATTTCACGTCCCTGCGGGTTTGCCGTGACCTTCCCCGCCCCACCGATTCGAAAACCTCACTCTGCCGCTTGTGTGTTGCGACTTGCTTCCTTCTTCCCCACGTCTTCAGTGAGAATCACTTGTTGCTGGAATTATGTGCTGAAGTAGTAGCGATTCTGACTGCGCAGCTCTAGCGAGCACTGCTTTTTTAACGGAGAAAATGCCATGGGGGGAG